GGTGGGGTGGGGGTGCATGGTGACACTTCCTTGGTTTCTGAGAATCAAAGTGCTTCTAGCTAGAAAAGGGCAGCGAGATTCAAAAACAGTGATGGGGCAACTAATAATTTCAGGGAGATGCGAATCGGGGGGTAACCAGGTGCTCACAGAAGTCAAGCCTCGTTTTCTTTTTCATTGACTTTAGAGAGCCTGAGAGAGGACGGCAGGGGGAGAGAGGGAGAGAAACATCGATGAGAGAGAAAAACATGAGCCATTGCCTCCCGTACGCACCCCAACCGGGGATCAAACCTGCAACCTGGACTAAAATTAAGGTGTGGGCAGGCGGTGTTCCTTATGGACGGATCTCGGGGTGAATCTGTTTCCTTGCCTTTTTCAGATTGTAGGGGCTGCCCCCAGTGCTCGGTTCCCTCTATTTTCAAGGCCGCCAATGGCAGGTTGAGTCCTCACTGTTTATCGCTCCGATCTCTTCTGCCTCCCTCTTCTGCTTTTCAGGACCCTTGTAATTACATTGGACCCCCCAAATAATCCAGGACAACCTCCGCACGTACGGCCTTTGACTTAACCACACCTGAGAAGGCTCTCAGGTTCTGGGGGTCAGGCCACGGACACCTTTGGGGGTGGCAGTGACATTATTCTGCCCTGTAACTTTACATAGAGGATTGTGTGGGGAAAACCGAGCAGAGGAGGAAGGAATCGGGCACATGCCCTTGTCAGAACAGAACCTCGACGTTAGCAAGGACACCGTTTGGGTGCTGGTGAGAGCCCTGTCAAATATGGGCTTTACATCCTGCAACTTTCCTTTCACTCCAGTTATGCAGAAAACCCACCTAGATCCATCTCTGGGAAGGATTTTTAGCGCGGCTCCTTCCTTGCTCTGGATCCATGGTGACCAAGGGGAGAAGTGAAATTCTGGAGTTGTTTTCTTAAAAAAAGACTTAATTCCTTTTGACTTAACTAAATACGTTAAGCATGCAGCATATTTCAGGGTGGTGGCCGAATGGCAACAAGCAGGATGTTTAAGTACATGAGATAATGTTGGTTTTTGTGGTGGAAAATGTCGCCTCAGAGAGAGGCACCCATGCAGGGAAGAGCCCCCGAGGCCGGGAGTCAGGAGACCTGTAGTCCAATTCATGTTCTAGCACTTTCTAGCTCCGATTAAGTTGTCATCCCTCTTTCTACTTTCAACATAGCTCAGGCTAGTTGGGCCCTAGAATTCGCTAAACGTGACTTAATGACCAGATAGAGGGAGACTTAGGGCTGCTCTGGAGCACTGTTCACCCCGGTGGAGGTGGGACTGCCCGGATAGTTTACCTGCCACACTGATCAGGGACACTTTGTCTCATTGCTTCGGATGGCCAAGGTGCCCAAGAAGGGTCTGGAACCCATGCATTCCTGGGAGTCAAGGGGAACCCTGAGAACAAAACTTGAAGCAGAGGGTTGAGGCTCTAAATGAAATTTCAGGGCTCAGCCAGCCTGCAGGTGAGATATTTGGGGACAGGGCACACCCCTGTGTGAATTCTCACCAGGGGATGGTGAAGGCCTAGGTGCTTTCAGCACCCAAGGGGAGATGGCCTTGGGGAAGATAAAGACAGTGGGGCATGTGGAGGGAGGGGGTGCTGCCTTGTCTGACCTCCAGTCTCAGGGGCATCCCGGGTGTGGGGAATCGCCCCATTTCCGATTGTGGTCGGATCACCGCGTAGTCACGTCTGTTCCCCACACCCTTCCTTGCAGGGTTTTGCAAGAGCAGGCCGCTGGACTTGGTGTTCATCATCGACAGTTCTCGTAGCGTGCGGCCCTTGGAGTTCACCAAAGTGAAAACCTTCGTCTCGCGGATCATCGACACCCTGGACATCGGGGCGGCCGACACGCGGGTGGCGGTGGTGAACTACGCGAGCACCGTCAGGATCGAGTTCCACCTGCAGACCCACTCGGACAAGAAGTCCCTGAAAGAGGCCGTGGCGCGCATCGCGCCCCTGTCCACAGGCACCATGTCGGGCCTGGCCATCCAGACGGCCCTGGAGGAGGCCTTCGCGGTGGAGGCCGGCGCCCGGGGGCCCGGCGCCAACATCCCCAAGGTGGCCATCATCGTGACGGACGGGCGGCCGCAGGACCGGGTGGACCAGGTGGCCGCCCGCGCGCGGGCCTCGGGCCTCGAGCTCTACGCGGTGGGCGTGGGCCGCGCGGACCTGCAGTCGCTCAGGAC